ACAGACAAAGCCAGGGTTGGCTTGGCATAGCTTACATGGTATTTTATAGTTCCCCGTTCCCGTGCTTTTCCCTGTTGCTTAGTTACAGATTACCCACTGTAATCCCCACTCGCCCAAATGGCAGATTCAGTCGGTGCTTTTGTCTTTCTGATTGCCGTCTATGGGTTGTACTGTTGTTGCCTTTGTGGGGTTTGCCTGTTGCGCGCAAAGCTGGGAGTTCTCGATCGCTCACTGATTGCTTTGCCTGTGAGCCTCTGCGCTCCCCTTTGTCTGCAGCGCCCGAGGGAAACCACGCTGATACAAAGTATCTGCTTGCGGTTTGAGCCACGTGTCCATAATCAGCTTGCGGTTTCACTTTCCCTTTTTCTCTGCTCGCGCCTGGGCGGTGAAATTGACTTAGGTGAAGCTGAGCGGTGCCTTCGCCATGCTGGGCCATTCCGGCTGAATCTGACAGTTGACACAGTCCAGTCCCAACCCAGTCCTCGCTGCCATTCTCACCACGCTGCCCAGGAGAAACACGCTAGAGTTACCACTGCCACCACATTGCAAAAAAACCTTCAGCCAGTTGATAGGCAGCACACTTGCAAACCTAGCTCATCTGCGCCTCCTCTGCCACTCCAACCATTCCGACCCACAGCAGGGCCTTTGGGCCTGCAGGTCCAACCGGCTCCGGAGCTCCTCTGCCGCCTTGATTTCCTGTCTCGAAGGCGCTTGCTGCTCCAGCCTGCCTAACCCCTGGCCCCTGCACTCCAGCCTTTTGTGCCTAGTGCAAATGGAGTGTTTGTCTACATGCCCCCCCCACTGCAAACCATCCTCAACACCCTGAAATCTTCAAGTCCTACAAGCTCTGCAGAGATGCAACTGGCCCCGGGGCCATCACAGAGCGAGAGAGAGAGATCAGAAGAGAGTAAAGAGAGATGAACAAAGAGCATCCAACAGAGTGAATGGAATTAAAAAATAAAAATGAGGAAATTATTTGTAACTGAAACTGAAGTGAGAGAACATGAGAATTTTAGATATTTGTACGAGAAAGATGACAAAGAATGGAACTGAAATGAAAGCCATAAATGTTACAGGCAGGAAAAAATGATGAAAAGGAAGTCATTAATGTTGTAAGAATGTTGAAAAATAATACAACTGCAGGGGGTTGAAGGTGTACTTCACAATATAAATATTAAAATCTGAATGTCATTTGTTTATGAAGTGGGTGTCCAACTTGTTTAACAGACATGTGAAGATTGCCTGATGGTTGAAAGAATTGTCCCCTAAAGAAGTGACAATGAGCCGAATTTGGGGTATGCCACAGGCTTTAGGAGAGGAAGGGAAGCAGGGTTGGCCAGAGTTTTGCTCTTTGACAGGTCACTGAGAAATGTATGAATGTGGGAAATAAAGTTTATTGTACTTTTGTTAATTTAGAGAATGCACAAATTAAAATGAATTGTGGAACTTTTGCATGAAAATTGAGTTGAAGGTTGGTTTTTGAATGTGACCACCTTCTTCTCTTCTCTGTGGCAGCCTGTTGCTTTAGAATGGCCTCTCACTGGAGATCAGACTCTTCCCTTCTCTCCTGGCCTTTATTCCAGAGAGCATTTTCATGACTTTTTGTCTTGATTTATTGCACCATTTTTGTTATTTCATTCTCTTTTATTTACTGTCGCTTATGTTGTTTTCTACATCAATGTGTAAATTGTCATTTCATTGTATTCATTCTAAGACACCAAAAGTCAATTGCTTACAGCTGTCAGATCAAGCCGGCACAGCACGGCCAACGCCACTGTCCAGTTTCACCATCCCTAGTCAATTTCACCACCTCAGGCGCAGGCGGCCAGGGAAGGGGGAACAGGACTAACCACAAGTCAATGGCCGGCAGGTGGCGGCAATTAACTCAGGGCAGGAGCGGATA